CTTTGAGCTGCCATTTCAGTCATTTTGTAGCAGAGTTTCCCCCCACATGCAGTCTTGCTGCAACACCCCGGGGAAATTAAGGAACAGAGAGCTAGTATGTTCAGGACATCTCCGCATATAACCTAAGGCAAGAGAAACAGTAGAGTGGCAGTCATTCAGATCATCATTGTACTTCGCATTTAACTGTGACCTTAGGGTGCAGTATTTTTACAGCAATGGAAGATTGTTTCTTTTCCTCTGCAAATATGATCATGTATGAAACCTAATTAAAAAGATGAAGTCTATAACATGAAACCAAGGATGAACATTTGGGTTGATTGCTCCATGTATAGAGTTTTAGTTTTCACATCAGCCTCTTTTCATCCCTTCCGCTGGCTGTCATTAATATAACATAATTAGAGGTGGACAAAGTACACAACTTCCTTACTTGAGTGAAAGTACAGATACTACTGGTCAAATATTACTCTGTTACAAGTAAAAGTTGTAAAGACCGAGTTTTACTTAAGTAAAAGTACAGACAAGTACTTGTTTTTAAAAGTACTTGTCTTAAGTATCAAAGGTAAAAAGTAATTGTCAATGCATTGTTTTATTATTGTTGCATTGTTGTATGTAATAGCGACTTACAGATCCTTGTGCCTCTGAATCTATGCCTGCCCACATACTCTCATATCAATATCAAATTTATTTCTACAGTTCCAGTAGTGGGATTTAATGTGAGATTGAATAAGTGCACTCAATAACGTCCACAATGGTTTCAGACACCCAAATGGCTGTTCCCTCAAATAGTGCCCTATTTAAAAATTTTTGGCTTTTAGTATGAATATGTTGGCCTTACTGTTATCTATAAGCTAGTGTGCTCCAAAACAATGAAAAAATTCACATTTAGAAGACCAAACCCAACGTTGAAAATGAAAATCGGGTTGACGTCAGAAAACAACATCAGTCGGGTTCTGACGTCAACCCGACTTTCATTTCCAACCAAAATCCAACGTCTGTCCGACGTTGGATGCTGACGTCAACCCGACATCATTCATTTCCAACCAAAATGCAACCCCTGCAACCAAAATCATCCCCTGACTGACATTACTACTTTCTACTCAAGAACCTTTGACAGAAATGTAGTGGAGTAAAAAGTACGATATTTGTCTTTCAAATGAAGTTAAAGTAAAAAGTAAAGTACAGATGCTCAAAAAGTGTAGTACAGTACTCAAGTAAATGTACCTTGTTACTGTCCACCTCTGAACATAATTAAAGTTTGACATGGATTCTGTAGATTGCAGAGGAAAACCTCTTAAAAAACTATTTTCTTCTCTTCTGTGTCAGTCTCCGACACTCTTCACGTGAGAACCATGACACATGCATGTGATGCTGATGCAGGAGCAGGCCAATGCTGAGCCGGCGTTCTGACGTATAACCTGGAAGTGCTGCACTGTGATTAGAACATGAGACTGACACGGAAGAAAAGAAATTGTTGAATAAATTCGTTATTTTAGATTTTTTTGCACACATTCTCGTCGCTTCATAAAATTAAGTTTGAACCCGTGTAATCACATGGACTATTTTAACGATGTCTTACCTTTCTGGGCCTTGAAAGTGGCAATTATACGTTGCAGTCTAGTGGGGGGTCAGAAAGCTCTCGGATTTCACCAAAAATATCTTCATTTGTGTTCCGAAGATGGACAAAGGTTTTAAGGGTTTGTAACGATATGAGGGTGAGTAATAATGACAGAATTTTCATTTTTGGGAAAACCAACCCTTTAAGGTTTAGGGGTAAGTATGAATTCGCCACCAATTTGCCAAAACGTAACATAGTTACATCGTCAGAAGTCATTTGTAATGTACTGCAGTTGGAAAGCACATCAGTTCTTTTCCTCTCCAAACCTGTGGTGTACTGTACTGCTAAAATTAATGAGGCTGTCAGAAAGCAAGAGACTGGTTAATTTTCACACCACCTACCATATGTCATTATGAGGACAAAAGATTCACGGTTAACTTTGTGCAAATAATACTATTTTTATGTGTACGGTTCTCAGCTATCACATATCCACGAATGCCACTGACCCCTGACATTATTAAAAGACAAGTGCTCTTACAAAAAAAAAAATCACAATATATTGGTGATTCATAGAGACAATCATATCAGAATTACAGTGTTTTTACAGTAGACGACACATGGTTGTAAATACAGTAAGAGAGAACCCAAATATCCCTGATAGCACACATACTTTGCAGAGATGTCTTATTAATGTGCATGTTTTCATCTAATAGATGTATTTTTAGACGATTTGCCGATCTGCAATCAGTCCCATAAGATGTCCCATTAGACGTTTCCTGTCAGAGGTCAATAGAAACGCTTTAATCATGTATAATGTAAGTTAAACGGCTTTTTAAAAGATGTTTATCAGATGTTTGCACGCAACAGATGCTTTCCAGCTGAAGTGGTCTTTAACAGACATCTTGTGCTGTATGATCCCAGAAAATTGCACTAGACGAGTTCTATTATGCACTTGCAGCATGCTCTCTTCCACTGCTGCTGCTAGTAAGATAAGGTTGACCACTGATATTGTAGATGGCAAACTCCATTAGTGATTGTTGATGTTAAGGAAAAAAATGGGCTGCAGAAGTGAGATCATGTCATTTCCTCTAAATTACAGTAATGAGATCAAACAGAACCCATTCAAGTGTCTGATTCCATTTTTGATGACTCACATTCATTTTTTTTAACATTGAAAAATGAAATGAGGTCTGCTTTCTAAAAGTATTTCCTTGCCAACAGAGCATCTGTGTGATGTGACCAGCACACCCACACTGAACATAAGAAATAAAGCCATTGTTTTTTAATGTAGTCAACATTAGTGCAGTAAATCTGCCGTTTCTTTATCATTATACAAACAAGATCAGCATATTTCCTTCAAAAAGTAATCACCATTTATTATGTTTATTATGTATTTATTATGTATTGCAGCATTGAAAAGTTCAAATTTTTTATAGTCTGTAGAGCGCAACAGTTTGGTACCATTTAGTAAAAAATCCCATTCCATTTCTCCTAGGTGAATTGATTTTTAACAATAACTTAAAAAACGTAAGATAAGACAGTCCTACTGAAAGCTACAGGGTTGTTAATCAATGGTATATACTTTTGTTGAAGCCATCATGTTTAACGGTGGTTTTCTGGGGGAAAACAACATTACCCATGATTCTGGAAAAATCTCCACCAATCACACAATCAAAACAAGCAATCGCAAAAGAAGTCAATAGTGCAAAGTTCGTAAAGTGATTCACCTCGACCTCGTACATTGTGGGTTTGGTGGCTTATAACTCTTTAGTTTTTTTTTTTTTTTTACTGTGGGAAAAATGAAAAATATTTCCTCAACCAAGGCCTCTGAAATACACTGTTGGACTCTGACCACCTTACTTTGCAAAACAGAAGTAGGCTATTTTCTGTGATGTGACTTCAGATTCATCCGAGACTTCAGATTCATTAGCCGCTCGTAAAAGGATAACAAAGTGCAGTAAATGGTAAAACTATTTGCTCTACAAACCAGTGTGATCATGATTTTGATAATAAATTGAAATAATATTATAACAAATAGGCCTACCAGTTTACAATATAAAACAGAATAATGGGCAGGTAAAATAACTGGAATCGAATAACATTGGAAGCCTTGCACATTCAAGTCACAAATGGCCGTGTCTGCTCTTAAAAATAAAATAAAAATAATATAATGTGGATAATGAGTAGCCAACTCTTATGTTTCTTGTGGGCTATCACTTTTCATATCAGGGTAAGTTAAAATAGTTCATTATCTTTCTTTACTCAAAATAACTACTGATTGTAATAAAAAATTGCCAGGGAGGGCAGTAATAATTTGAATATAGGGTGAGCATGCAACCTTTGTCAGAAGCTCAAGAGTCAGACGCAAACTAGATGGAAAAAATAGAAGATTTGTTACCTCGCTCGTAACCTAATTATGCTAGATAACTAATCAACAGGAAATCTGATTTGAAATAAATTATAGGCCTAATGTATCATTTTTTATTATCGTTGAAATATTCACCCTGTTGCTAGGCTGACTGTTTTTCCCACCCAGTGACTATTTTTCCTAGTGGAATCTTTACGATAGTCAAGTAAGATAATATAATATAATCTAAACTTCAATCAATATTTCATGTCCATGTAGCCGTGAAATCAATATTTAATGTCCATGTAGCCGTGTAATATAAGGGGGATAATCAGCCACTCCTTATCACAATAATAAACCCTAGTGATCAGGACTTCCAACGCCTGCGGTTCATCAGAGCGGAACTCTGTCTACGGCAGTATTTTCCACACCGACAGATATCTGAGTAACTCCTTCCGCTCTTGTTACAGCCTGTTTCCAGCACAGCAACTGAACTGAGCTAACTGAACGATTACTGTTAAAGGATCCGTTCGTTTACTTTTCTCACATCTTTCTCCGTTTTTTACCATAGGTAAGTACAATAATAGTGTTTGTTAATAATAACCAACGACAGTATTGTGGTTTAATGAGAAATTTGATTTGAAAAGAATGTGATCCGTTCAGCTAAATTAGCTTAACAACAAATATAGGCTAACGTTACTCAATATCCACAACGTAGGACTAATGGTTTTCATTTGTTTTTTTTTTTTTTTCTGTTTTGATTTACGGCAAGACTGAATAACTTTTGCTTTCCGAGCAACTCTTCATGATCTAAACTATTTCTTTACTGTTAACCATTTCTGGTCCCCGAACACACAATCTGGAGTTGTTATTAACGTTAGTCCCCACCACACTTGTTTTTGTATAGGAACGGAGTATAAAGAGCTTAATTTCTCAGGGAAAATATTACGAATATTTACCAAAAAATCAACTCGCATCTTTTGTTGAAAACAAATCCGTATTTTGGAGAGAACCATAACATGTATTATTTGAGTTCTAATGTGTTGAAGAATACCAATACATTATTTTTTTTATATCTCTGAAGATTTTTAAGTTATTATTAATTTTCTTTCTTTGTGTCAGAAACAGATTTTTCTAATCAAAGATGACAGACCGTTACAACATCCACAGTCAGCTGGAGCATCTGCAATCAAAGTACATCGGCACGGGCCACGCAGACACTAGCAAATGGGAATGGCTAGTTAACCAGCACAGAGACTCGTACTGCTCCTACATGGGCCATTTTGACCTTCTCAATTACTTCGCCGTCGCTGAGAACGAGAGCAAGGCTCGGGTCCGCTTTAACCTGATGGAGAAGATGCTGCAGCCATGTGGTCCACCAGCCGACAAACCTGAAGATGCCTAGGGCCATTGTGACTGAATCCCTACTGTATGTTTTATAAGGCTGTGCTCTTGATATGTTTATAGAGCGATGCACAGAGAGAGAGAGAGAGAGAGGGGGAAAGATCGACCCTGGACACTCTTTAAATCATCTTGTTTGAGAACCAGTTAATGTTTTCTCTTTTTTTGTGATATTTTGTATAGGTTGTTGAACTGCAAGTGTGTCTTAAGAAAATAAATGTGATACCCTCACACAAATGCATTGATTGTATTGTTTTAATATTATAACATTTATTTAAAGTTTAAGAAATTAATACTTTTATTCAGCAAGGATGCATTAAACTGATAAAAAAGACCGTACAGTTATAATTTTACAAAAGATCTGTTTTTCTATTTCCTCAAGAAATCCTGATTTTTTTTTTTTATATATATAGTTTTCACAATATCAAGCAGCACAACTGTTTTCAACATGAATGATAAGAAATGTTTCCTTGGCAGCAAATCAGCATATTAGTGTTTTCTGAAGGATCATGTGACACTGAAGACTTGAGTAATGATGCTGAAAATTCAGCTTTGCCAGCACAGGAATAAATTACATTTTGAAATAGAAACATTATTTTAAATTGTAATATTTCACAATATTAGTTTTTACTACATTTTTGTCAAATAAATGCACCCTGGGTATTTATAAAAAAATATAGTGATGCTAGTGTTCTTAATGAAGATTAGTTGTATAACCAAGAAAATCAGGTATCTTTATTTAGGGGGTCTCTGAGTTGGTCTGAGAAACTGAGTGGGGGGTTTAAGTCTGTAAACGACGAAAGACCTCACTATAGCAAGTACATCGTAAGGTTGGTCTAATAAGTACATTTACTCTCAGTGGGAAATCAGATCTATTTACATATACTAAAAAGTGTGGAAAGTTGCTTCGATCCGCTTTGGTATATTGCTCGTTTACAAATAAATCGAGCGAAAGCATAAAAAAGGAGTGGATTTTTCCAATGTTTGTCCGATGAATCAGCGCAGAGGAAATTTGGCATCACCATGAGTTCACTGATAAGAGATTTGCAGTCTTTGAGCGTGACAGTCAGCGGTTGCCACTATCATAGCAGGGCAAATCCTCGCCAGCTGGCCCCACAGTTTGAGTTATTCTTACAACAGGGTCATTTCTGCAGTGTCAGGATCAGGAACAACATACTGGCACAGCAGATCACCGGTGGTGCTCATGCTGCAGAAGACCAGCTATTTTTAATTTAAAATGAGGAATAATGCTGAATTAAGCTGTTGAGGAGTCCAGAAGGAATTATGTATAAAAATGCTGCACTTTAGCAGATGGTCATTTCTGTAGACAAACAAACAACCCTTTTAGTCAGTCTAACAGACTGTGCTCTTCTTTCAAACATAATCGTTGCTCTGAGAAAAGAGCACCTGAGCTGACCACACAAAAAGACCACTAACTAAGCAAACATTTAATGTCCTTCAGTGGTCGGCGCTAACCTTGACAGCATGTGTTTAAGGACGTGGCTATTGCTACATTTAGTCGACCATAAAGCCATCATCTACATCCCTAATGGTAAAATCTCAAATAGCCATAACTTCCAGCGGAAAGCCATTCAATATGAGCAGAGGAAGAACTGTCACATGCTAGATGAGTCTTAAGTCAGCTTGTTATGTGCGCTAGAGCCTAAATGTGCTTATAGATTAAAGGTCATTTTGCTCCAGCAAATCAGTTATGCACAATTAATTCGAAAATCTGTCTATCATGCTGCAATTCAATATAAGATCATAAAGGTTTACATTTAAAACATTTTTCTGAGTACATAAGCATATCTATGATTAAATATGTGAGAACAGATGCCAGCACCATCTGATTAGAGGCACAAGCAACTGGAGAGGAAAAACAAGTTAAAACAAGCATGAAATCAACTGGAGTGCACTTGGCGCCAATGACGACAGCGCGGGTCATGTCTAAAAGGGCTTGATGGGAAATGTGTGACCAGCCGACATATACAATATTTGCTCTGTATGTGTATGGCAGTTTTATTCCCCAAGAAATAAGACTATTGCATGTCATTTACTGTACTTTTATAATGCACACAGCTTCAAAGAATGATGATTTGTTGGGGGGGTCATTACAGATCCACAGTTAGAGGAAACACATGCACAATACTCAATGCATGACTGTAGTGCGTCACTGGGAAAACAGTTCAAGAGCACAGCTGACTCCTTTAGTCCTCTTACGCACAAAGATTTCCTGGACAAAATCCAGTATTTACAATAGCAAGCGTCTGATTTATCACTTACAATAATGACGTTAATACAATCGTTTCGACTTAATATCGACAATCTAGCCACTGCAGGATAATGTCTCCTGCTGTATGAATCTATAGATGCATTAAAATGGCTTTATTTATATGCCAGTGCAATTACAATAAAGTAGCTTATTTTAAAATGCATCTTCACATAAAAAGTTTTCACATACAGTACCTAGTTAGCCTTTCAGCTTGTCGAAGTATATAGATATATGCTCAGAATAATTTAGTATGTACAGCATAAAATATCAAGTAATTGCTTCTAAATTATACAATATGATTTATAAAATCTTAAAAAAGCTGTACAAATGGCATTTATGCTCTCTACACTTAATCAAAGATTATAATGAAAGCTGCTTATTTTGCAAGGAATCCTCTAGTTTTGTTTGACTAAAATGCTCATGGATTTTACAGTTGACTGCACCATGAAAAAACCCCCCAGCCAGATGTCCTTGTTTCCTTTCATTCATTGCACAAATAATTTGTAAAACAAATGCACTTATAATGTTTAGTTTCTCAGCCCATTATCTTCATTAAGCACAAAATAAGGCAATAGTGATCTGCGATCATTTAAATGTAATAGATATATTACGTTTTCATTATATATATATACTGTGTGTGTGTGTATATATATATACATACATACACGCATACATATACACATACATTCATATGCAAAGATCAGTTATTTCCATTACATCTAAATTGACATTTTGTGTTAAATTTAATATGTGGTAAAAAAAAAAAAAACCACCACATAATTCTCAAAAATGATTCCAACACTGAAGACAATTTAATTAGAAAGAATGAAAATATGACCCTATAAGATCTACTGTTAGATTTGGCTTATTTTGGATACTGTTTTAAAACATGAAGATATACATATACACTTTAAATATGAACATATCTCTCACTACAATATGAGAATTTCAAATGTGTAAACTACACCAATATATACTCCAATAATCCATACGTCTTAAATGGTTCATGATTAAATATTGATGAAATCTATAGAAATGTGATCTAAAATGGCGATTTGTAAATGCGAGAGCTGTTCAACCAAGGTCTAACTAAATATAAACATTTAGAATGTTAATACAAGTTAATGTGCTTTCTTACCCCTTTAAATGCTTCTCTGCGAAATAAATCAAGCCAATATACTGCAATATACTGTATTCACATATATCATACACAGACTGTACAATTGATTTGAAATAACTTAAAAGTTTCCCCAATTTCTAACAACATGAACAAAAAACAAAACAAAACAAAAAAAGCTAAAAGATGGACATAAGTGAGTGTCCAGCAAATTCTGTATTTTGACATACAATCAGATATTATATAAAGCACCAAAATGTGCAATAATGCAATACTGACACATTCAATAATGGACTAAAATAATGGACTAGAAGCCCTTTCCAATTTTGAGTTAAAACGATTGTTTTACTACATTATATTGCGTGCAACATCTTGTTCGGCACCACTGTACTTAATAAAACTCACCACATTAATGTACAACCTAAAAGCCAAATCAATGAGACACTACCTGGAATTTTGGGAAAACTGTCATAATGTTTAGGGGAAAGTATAATGCAAGTTAAATAAACATGGATTCTGTCATAAACATATGATGATAGTCTATTCCTGAACAGCAATTATATAGAAGATATGTTACAACATGACCACATGTATATCAAGTAATCAGACTTTTTTTTAAGGAAAAAAAAAACAACACTGTAAAGGCACAACATAAATCTGATTACATTCTATTATACTGAGGACGGTTTTAATCTGGATACAGAGGAATAATGGCAGTAATAAACCTGGACATAACAATGGACCTCAATATCCATGTAATGGACACAGAACCAGATACATGAGTCGTATAAAATGTTTTTTCACATGCATGGATATTCATAGATATTACTGGACTCTGCACGAATACAGCAAGAAATATGTAATATATACAACACCAAAAAAAACAATCCTCAGAGCTGCACGCATCAACAACGTAAGCCACTGTTGAGTCACCGCACGCGCTCAGTTTTACACTGTTGTGCTCAAGTGAACCTTTCGAAAATATCAGGGACACTTTAAATTAAAAGAGTGTAAGTCTTGTCATTAGTGTGTGCAAAAAAGGTTCCTGATATGAAAAAAAACAATTGCATTGCTTTATCTTGTTTGAAAGCCTCTCTCTCTCTCTCTTCGTTTCAGTTCATAATTGCATTCCAGGCCCATCTTTAGCCACGCTGTAGCCCCCTAGTGGCTGAAAGCAATAACCAAAGTGCATCCGGTGCCAGAGAAGAGCCGGCTGCCGCCGTCTGTTAGCCTCTCGGCAGGAAACATGGCGAAGAGACAGGAAGAGAGATCCAGCACCCCCTCCACCAGGCACCGCCTCAGGGCCGATGAAACCTGCCACAAAACAGAGACAGCAGACGCTAGTTTAGCAGACAGGACACAGAACAGATCTGAGCAATATAGAGGGGAAAAGAAGCATCTAGAGTGGAAAGACTTGCTGCTAATAAAAAGACCCTATCAGCTGCTCTATTAACACTACACTTGCTGAATAAAGAGTCCTGCCAGATACATACCGGTAGATGTCTAACACATCAGATAATGAAATTGTTATTGGTTTATAAATTTCCTGAACCCGTTCAGGGTGATTTGCAAAAACGACTGTGATGATAGACATCATGTGACTTTTCGCTGTACTTCACATTTACCCCATCATGCTCACACCACATTTTAGGACCTTAAGAGAAACTCTGTCAGCATTTACTCACTCTATTGTTGTTTCAAACCTGCATTACTTTCTTTCTTCTGTTGAACACAAAGGAAGATATTTTGAAGAATGTTGATAGAGAAACCGTTTAAGTTCCCATTGACTTCCATTGTATTTTTTTTGTCTATACAATGTAAGTCAATGGCAACTGAAACTGTTTGGTTATCAACATTCTTCAAAATATCTTCTTTTGTGTTCAGCAGAAGAAAAAAAATACATACAGGTTTGGACCATCATCGGAGTGAGTAAATGCTGACATCATCAGAGTGAGAAAATGGCGTTTTAATTTTTTGGGCAAAATATCCCTTTAAAGGCACAGTATGTAATTTGTGCCGCTAGAAGTCGCTTATTCAAAACAATAACGAAGGGTTAGCTTGACGATGCCGTGAACGAGCGTGGAATCATGGGAGTTGTCTTCACCGCCACAGCTGATGGAAAGCAATCTGACGGGACTCAGGTAGAAATCATGTTTATGGGTGAGCTAATGTATTCAAGTTTTATTAACTCAGTGGTAATCTGTGGTATGAAGTCGGGCGGGGCAGAGACTGCGACATTTTACGTTGCTGTTTTCATTATGCCGCTGTCGCTCCTTTCGCTTTATGCATATTTTAAAGGTAAGATTTTATGATTTGAACATTGATGGTTACGTTTGATCACTTACTGTATATTCACATTATTTTATTTCATTCTAATGAAATACCCGCAAATGCTGAATTACTACACATACAGGTCTATTTTATTTGATGAATTAAAATTGTGGGGTAACGCAGAGCTGTTTTACTTGGTCAAAACAATCATACTAATATACATTTGAATGTGTTGAAAGTTATGTTGTAACATTACTACGGTGGCTGGTAAGAGACCACATTGCAGTAAGCTAGATTAATATTAGAATATTAATAAAAGCTGGATGACTTGTTGCTAAATGCTATGCAGTTCATTTTAAAATATATTGTATGGTGAAGAAAATGCTGTATTACTGTTACTACCAATAAAGCTCTTTCTGATTATTCTATCTTGGCCATTTGACAAAATAGTGTTGTCTCTGAGGCATGGTATAAACATGTTACTCACAGTAAATCAAGAAAACAATAGATTCAAACAATAAGACTAACAGTGTTCGACTATATAACAATGATTCGTTTTTCTGTCGACAAAGGTATCCAAACAGTTGCTCATCTGTCTGATAAAATACATAATATATTAAAGTAAAACCGGAAATCGAAGGGAACACAGACATGACATCATTGACAGGTGACGCAATGACACGGGCCGCTACACTGGTTAAAATAGCCGATTTCTCTGGATTCAAACAATGTGGGAAACATTTGGGATAATGTAAGTACACAAGTCAACAAAATATATAACATTGTTCTAGTGGTTTCTGGATATTTTAATCCAAAAATTGTACATTTTGTGCCTTTAAGAGGACCATTTTCCTGTGGGAACAGCCACACTATCTCAGACAGATTGACACACTCTGAGCGGTGGACTGAAGGTCAGTGAAAGGCTGATGTTTAATCATTTTACAACGGGTGAATCTCCAGTTGTCACTGTCACGTTTGAACCTTCCTGGATCCGCCATCAAATTGATCAGTTGAATTATATCAAGTGCTGTGAGAAAAGGCTATAAATCTCCACCTCCAACATCCTCACACGCAATATAGCCTACTAGCCGAGAGTCTCTTTATGTGTACAGATGTGACGTAATGACGCAAAGACATGCTCGAATCTCCCGCGGAAATCCACCAGTACCACTGGAATTAAAAACATTATTACAAGCTTACCGCTTTGAATCGAGCTAAGGGAAGCAGATAGTTTTGAACACTGGCTGGTTATGTACTTGCTAAAAAAATTATTTTGGATAATTTTTAACCCAAAAAAGTTACGGACTGCAGCTTTAATGTCAATTGCATAATTTAATTTAAAACTGTATCAATGACAGTTTACCTACTGGACTATAGCCAAAAACCTTTCATCCTCCTGACCAGGCTGCTAGTAGTACACAAACGTACCTGGTAAACTGTTTGCTTTCTTCGTGGACTTCCATTTCTTTGCTTTTAAATTCATTAAGTTCTTTACGTATAGCAGCCTGTGACAAGAAAAAAAAAGCCATTAGTGACAATGTGATCAAAGTTGAAAACAGATGTGCTCCTTCATATTTTTGTGGAGCAGTAATACATTTTTTCAGGATTCTATTGATGAATAGAAAGTTCAAAAGAACAACTTTTATTTAAAATTGAAATCTTTTGAAACATTATAATTGTTTTTATTATGACTTCTGATCAATTTAATGTGTCCTTGCTAAATAAAACTATTTTCTTTAAAAAAAAAAAACTTTTGATCAGTAGTGTATTATAAAAACTGCACTATTCACATTAGAATTATACAATATGTTAATATACTGTTTTATGTTCACTGAAAAAAAACAGCACTATTCATTATAATGAACTATTGACCACACAAGTATTTGTGAAATCACCATATTTTAAAGTCACATGCCCAGTCACATGCCCAGTAGGTGGCATCAGTGACCAAACAAAAGGCAAGAGATCTTCTGATATTGAAGCAATATTCTCCAACTTATAGATGAGAGGACATAACTTATTTTAGGACCATCAACTGTATAATATAAACTATGCATTTAACAATATAGACAGGTAATACATGCATTGATAAAAGTTTATCACTCATAAATCGTAATTAGTTATATAGAATGAAAATGTGTCATTATTAACTTTGGAACACAACATATATTTTTTTCATGTAGATTTTGTCCATAAACTGACAGTTAACAGAGACCAGGGGACTATAAATCCATAAAACTGTGTTCAACAACAAATACAGCAGATAACAGGTTTAGAATGACATGAGGGTAAATATTTTAATACTGATCTTTCTTTTCTTTTCTTTTTAGATTGAACCATTTCCATTTTAGGAGACCTATTAAAGCATTTGTGCTTTAAAATATGTAAAAATCGTGTACAAGATCTGCAACACTTTACAATAAGGTTTCTTTAGTTAACATTAGTTAACTACTTTAGTTATTAACATGAGCTAAGAATGAACTATTTCTACAGCATTTTTTTTTTTTTTTACTAATACATTATTAAAATCAAAAGTTGTATTCTGTTAACATAGTGCACTATGAACTAACATGAACAAACAATTAATGACATTAACAAAGATTTATAAATATTGTAACAATGTATTGCTCATTGTTAGTTCATGTTAGTTAATACATTAACTAATGCTAACAAATGAGACTATTTTAAAGTGTCACCAAAAGATCTTTAAATCTACATATTATGAAAATTAAGCAAGAATGTATTAGCTTAAGATTCCCATAGTCCCAAAAATTATCAATTAAAATATTTATTCAGAAAAGAATTAAATAGATTATAAGTTAAATTAAAAGTAAAAAGTACTGAATTTAGTTTAACAATTTTTTTTTTTTTTTTACCACCAAAACATTATCTATGTTTTTTTTAAATCTTCTGGACAATTCTGTTATTTACAATGGGAAAAATGATGCTCCAACATTTGCCATGTTGCATGTGCATAAGTGTCTTTACAATTCTATGCAGCACAGCATGCACAATTTAAAGCAACAGTAAGAGAGAGGAATGGCTTACTTTGTCTGCAGGGGTCAACCTGGTCCAGGGCTTGTCAGCACGCCGATCATAGTCTTTTGCTTCTGTGACCTCCACATATTCATTGAACCGCAAAATTCTACGTGCCACCAGTTCTGCGACTGTGGGCCGGACGCTGAGCTACAGACACAGAGCAATTCCTTTAGTCACCTTTTAATGTGTGCGCAGTCTCTTTCAATAGGAGTTAAACATGTTCCTTCTAGCCTACTGTAAGTAATACCTTATGTGAGTGAAACAATGAATGGCAAACAAAATGCATCTTTGATAATGAAGCACGTGATGGTAGATGTGACTGCCTTTACAAGTGAAAATATTAAGAAGTGCCTGCAGTCATTTGTCTAATGATACTGTCTATTATTGCAGTTTCAGCTAGAACAGGTCAACTTTGAGGAAAATCTCTGTAAATGACTATAGATCTAATTTATAGATCAGTCCATTTAAATTCTCTGCCCAGATTCTCTCAATAACACAGGGCATTAGAAGCATACTAAATTAGAAGGGCCAAATTAAAATTGCCAGACTTCCAGACACTTCTGGCCACTTCTACAAAACGTCAGGAATATAAATCTCTTTCTCACTCCTCACAACACCTCACACATTACAATTAAGAGTTAGCTAGTGGGTTAATGACATGATCAAATTGACTCTTTAATCTATTTTCATAACATCTCAACTTATTAAATAATAAATTCAAATACAAGCCATTTAGTCAAGTTGATTAGTTCAAGCCCTGTTCTTAAAAGTGATGCATTATTGAGATACTAGACACATTTTTTTGTAACTTCCTTGTAAGGCCAGCAGGTGGTGCAATGTCCCACAATGATGTCACATTAATGATTTTGATTTATGACGATTCATAACTTCATGGAGCATTATGCTAAAGTAACAGGTTGTGTGTTATTTGAAATTAGAGCAATACATTACATTTATACCTGTAATCTTTCAATATCTGACATCTAATTTCTATGGAGGCTCATTTCTGCCACATAAGAAAAAAAATCATACATTTATTTCAAATAAATTGAAATGATGACAAACTAATTCATAATTATAAGATTTTAAAAACTAATTTACATAAAATGTAAATTATGAAAAAAAAAAAAAATGTCAATTATAACCTCATCTCATAATTTAAGAACTTATGTCATAATTATTATTTACCAAGGCATGATTTTATTTCTTATGTAGCAGAAATCCATACATTAGTGATAGATTGAACAAATTATGAGAATTTGACTCAAAGAAAATTGCAGAAGGTTGTACCTTTCGGGACAGTCTTCTTTTAATCTCCTGCTTGGCCTCTTGTTCTTCTTCCTCATTTTTCTCTAAAGGGATATAAGAAAAATGATTTTGTTAGTTATCATCTTATCCAATGACCGATATTTGCTCTGAAGTTTACATATTAAATATTTGACAATTATTGCAAAACAGAGAATATAACTTTCCATTTTAGCACAACCAAGGCCATTTAAGACTAAACAGCATGTATCCGACAATGTTGATTTTTAGTCCTCCTTGTCAGTAAGTGATCAGAGTACAGTGAAAACCAGCTTAGCTTAACAGTAAATAATGGTCTAGAATGAAAGCATGCTCACTGATGAGTCCAAAATATGTTTGTGTAACACTGGCCAAAAATACTGAATATGCCATGGGACCATGAGCAGTTCTTAAGGATTCTTTATATATCCTACGCTGACCGATTGCTTTAAATGGTCCGTAAACCTGCTGTTGTTGATGATGTTATATGATTTCCAAAACAATTAAATACCTTTTTCCATTTTTTTAAGTTAACCTAACAATTCGAAGTGTTAGTTTACTCATATGATTTCTTCAGTTATCAATATCTTTTTTTAAATAATGTAGCTTACTTTTACTTCAGGAAACAATACTAATGACTGATTTATACACTACAACTCTAGAATTGGGACATTACCTTTACAGGATATTTGCAGCCAAGATGAACTATATCTCAGGTAAGCAGTGAGCTTAAGGCAACTCTGATTAAATGTTTACACCTCCCTGTTTGTCAGCATAGAGCTTACGGCTTGTTTGAGCTTCATCACATTCCTAGTCTTCATCAATTACATCACACGAAACAAAGGCAACAGAAAAGGCAAAATGACACAGGGACTGAGACACATAGAGATGCCCATGACTCAATGAACGTGTCTATGAGGCAGTAATAAATAACAACAAACATTGGAGCCCAGGGCATCCCAAACAACAGTAACTGTCTACAAACTATGTAAATGAGATAGTGACAGGAGACATACGCTTCAGAATATTTCGCTGCTCGAGCTCTTCTGTGGTGGGCCTTTGACTCAGCCGTCTATGGGTGGAAGAAAACAAGAGTCCGTTTGTGAGGAACCACAGAGACTATTGATGAATCTTTAGCTTGCGTTTTGTAAAGAAATTCATAGGTGCCCAATTTATACTCATCTACAAAACAAGATTATGATAAACAAAAATTCAGTAGGGTGTATCCAAACTTCCAATGATAGTACATTGATTATAATAAATTGGCAACGTTAGTATCCAATATATTAGCAGTACAGATCAGGATGGTTTAATGTACCTCACTAGTTTACAGCCGATCTGCTGCCACAGCTCCTGTCGCTGCATCTCGGAGGTCCGCGGGAGAATGTTCTTCTCTTCTAGCTCCTTCTTGCTGGGCCTGTTACCAAGTTTGATAGCAAGTGTGTCCCTGCGTCGAATTTTCATGGCAAGGGAGCCTATTAAAAAGAAAAATATTGATGCATGATATGATAGTATATTGGTAGCATATTTGTTATTGACTGAGTTGTTGTTTTTAAATGTATCATTATAGGTTGATTGGATATATATCGTACACGATTCGGATATTTAATTGTGACTTGGATTGTAATTTCCTTTTTACAATTAGATTACCTTTGCTGTCATCTAACACTCACTTGGTTTGATTGCCTGGTCTGAATCGGAGTTCGATTGCTCCCCCTCCCCCCGCGGGATTGCGTTCACATTTAATTATTTGGGTCTGAACCACAGAGCGTTTGCATCATCAAAGCAGCAGCTGTTTACCCCAGATGCTTGATTACATTGACGCAATAGAAGACAAAAACTGCAAACCTCACTTTTATATTTCATTTTTGGAAACTTTGGTTTTGTTTTCAAAGCGCCAGCAACCATAACCGTACCCTTTTTATGCGGACTAGGGTACGGTTCACGGGTGTGCACAGAGTTCGGAAAACAGCGTTCATCATCCGAACTAACCGAACTCTCTGACATTAATCGAACCCAGGTCGCACTAAAAGTGCAAGTGTGAAAGCACCTTAAAGTTACCATGAAATCAAAATTGACCATTATTATTATTTTTTTTATAGAAAAAGGCAGTATTTATTACAAATGATTGTCGGAATACACAAAAGGGAAGAAAATCATGCCGACTTTAAAAGTTTATCTTTAAAAACACTGAACTTATTAAGAATGTAAAATGTAGTCTTTAGCAAATCTCAAAATCACAAGTTTCCATATCCTAATTCACTTGTAGCATTTAAAATGGTAAAGAATTTCAATAGGGGCCATTTATCAGTTCTTAGCCCTGATCGGCATCAGACAGATCTTTAGTACCAATGCAACCTTAGAATAAACTTAATATATTTGCATTCGGACACCAGTGAAACATCTTCAAATTGCAGTGTGGAAAGAACAGAAAATGAGAAACAGGCATCAGTCTTTGCAGGAATGTGCTCTGCATTTGCAGGAATGTGCTCTGCATTGTGCACTGGCAGGAAAGTCTGCAGAGTAACCAGCATGTCAGAAAGTAACGCTGACTAGAGACAGCATGTTTTTCCAGTTTGACAAACTAAAGGCTTGGACATCCGCTTTGCCAAAATTCTTTGAAGTTACAAGAGAAACTTCTAAAATGAAGATACCAAGAATGAAACCTCCAAGAAATGTATCACCTGTACTTGTGCTACGGGCTGTTAAGATTATACATAAACATCAGGCATTTACTAGAATAATCTACATGCATATCCAGAAAAGCAGAATATTTAAAGGTTTTCACTTACATCATTTTAATTTGGCTCAATTTTTTATTGGACAGAAAATGTAGAGAAACAAGGGGTTTAAACAACTAGACTTGAACACGTACTAGAGGTATACTCATCATCTTCGTCCTCCTCTTCTTCGTCCTTGTAGAGTATAGGTCCATCTGAATCATCTGAGTCGTTGGCCTGGTTTTCTCGAATGGAGTCAGGAATGACGGTCACCTCTGGGCTTTCCACATTGACGGTTTGTTGTCTCTCTCCCCCTGCAGTCCCAACAATCCTACAAAAGGCCAAGCCAAACACTCATTTAGTTTACCTAAAATATTCATTAGGATGAGCCGTTATCATAATCAGGGAAAGAGGACAACATAATCAAGACTTTAAAGAGGTCATAACATCATTCATTTTTTAAATTAACATTTTCCATGAGGTCCATTTATAATGTTAGTAAAGTTTTTTGTGCAAAGAGTCATAATATAGTTTTTCATGGCCATTTCCTCTCCTCTCCTCTCTCTGACTGTTCGAACTAAATGGTTTGTTTTTGGCTGCTGTGCCTCAAAAGAAACGGCCACTTCACATGTGAGATTATTCAGTGATCACACTTTTTTTTTTACTTAACATTTTAAGTAGCACAAGTTTGACAATCTGTCCTGTTGATTCATTTTGATATAACACCTTCAGTGCAGTTGTAATGCTGCAATGCTGTAGGTTTGGCTAAAAAAGTTGAGATCCAAAAACTAAATCAGAAAGGACTACATATATAATTATGCGATAATGTTCCAAACAAGACAACTAACAATATTACTAAAACTTTATCACTAACCACATTTCCTATCACACAAGTTACAAGATCAAAGTCTATTTGATGTCTCATGAAATATTGGTTACAAAACCTTTTTGGCAAACTATAACAAATATAGCACAACTAAAAATAAAGAACAATCCTTTAGCCTGAAGTTACATTGCTGAAATAGTTGCACTACCAGTCAAAAGTTTAGAGTCAGTAAGTTTTGTTTTTATTTTTCTGAAAGAAATGAATAATGTTATTCAGCAAGGACCCATTCATTTGATCAAAAGCACCTACATATACTTAAAGTTAAAGTTAAAAATCAAATAAATGCTGTTCTTTTTAACTTTCTATTCTTCAAAAAAAAAAAAAAAAAAACATGCTTTCCACAAAAATATTAAGCAGCACAACTGTTTTCAATGTTGATAATATGATTAAACGATTACATTTTGATCCCCAAATAAGCACATTATAATGATTTTTAAAGGATCATGTTTCCAACCACCTATTTTTATGCGTATTTTGGAATATCGCATTAAAAATGCTGGTTGGAAATGGAAGATGTGCATGAATTATAAAAATGCGCATGAAAAAACCTTATGTTTTCAATTGATGCATACAATAGTGGATGTGATTAGATAACTGAACTAAACAGCCGACCAATTTCATTGCACATCATCTCAAATGTTGGTTTGATCATTCTGAAATGCCTGAGCCAAAGTCTGTCATCAGAATAATTTGGTATAATTCCCTCCCAGAAGTGTCTCACATGATTACATCCCCAAACACCAGGCATCTGAATGCAATATAACATGACAGCATTTATAGTGTTTCATCTGCATGCTCTGAGACGCAAGTCATTTATGATGTAGGAAAAAAGAGCCACCGTTTCTTCACCGATTGCGGCAACTTCCATTTTTATAACAGATATTTTGCGCCAATTTCCCAAGAAGTGGAGATTTTGTTCTCTTGGACACATGGAAAGGAAACGCTGCTTTATTCGCAAATATTTTATGCAATATTCCAATTTTACTCATAAGTTAAATTCGCAACTTTGGGTGGAAACACAATGAATTAAGACTTAAGTAATGGCTGCTGAAAATTCATCTGTGCCATCAAAGGAATAAATTACGTTTCAAAATATATTAAAATAATAAACAGTTATTTTTTAATTGTAATAATATTTCACAATATTACTGTTTTACTGAATTTTGGATCACATAAATGCAAAAAGTAATCTTACCGACCCCAAACACTAGTGGTACAGCAGTGTACATTATTGTAAATTTACCCCAATCTCATTAAACGTCTGATTGGAGGATGACACACAGCATGACTTGCCTTTAGGGGAAACATATTGACATGCACATGTGCTATATAATCAATATTAAAAGCACAACATTAGAGGAATACAGATTTTACAAAAAATAACAACATGTAAACTGACCTTTGTATCTGGTCTGCCGCTGCCCTCTCTTTCACTTCTTCGCTCTCTGTGCTCACAGGTTCACCTAAAGTGTCTGAGGAGAGTTCATTTGAGGATCCAGTGAAGGATGTTTCCTCTGTGGCTTGGTTAACATGAGGCTGTCTTTTGTCCATCTCGGCAGAGGACTCGGAAACTTGATCGGCACCCTTCCCATCCTGAGATTTCTCCCCTGCTTTCTCATTACCATTTGAGGTTAATTCTTTTTTCCTTTGGTCCTTTTTAGAGGAGCTTTCCACAGTCTCGGACGGGGTTTTGGAAGGGGGCCGCGGTGACCTGGAGGGTGCAGGTTTTTTGGCAGACTTGGCTTGTGCTGCTGTTAGTTCTGAGTTGTTGTTCTTTGGGGTTTTCGAGCAGGTCGATGAAGATGATTGACCCGAGGCCTGAGTGGAACTCTTGGATGTGCCTGCAGTTTTCTTAGGATTCAATGTTTTTGCTGTGAAGAAATTCAGAGAAATAAGAGAATTAGAGATCTTAAAACGATAAGTTAATGGCTACACCAACAACAATGGCGGTGTTTTAAAAGCTTTTCTAAGAAATGAAACAGATTACTTGTACTAAGACATAATGACAGAACTAAAAGATAACATCAGATAGTGTATTTTCACATGCAGGTTCACCACTAAAAAATAAACTTCCTATGCGAAGGTCACTGCTGACCAAAGATATGAGTTTAGTTTGACATTCACATGAGCCAGGAAATTCAAAACACTATAAAACAAATAATCTGGGGTCCTCACAGTGTTACGTATTCATTTGCTGAAATTAAGAATATTAAAATATTACGAATGAATAAATAATAAATCAATAAAAAAGTGCTTCAGTTAAATGAGGAAGCCGTCAAGCCACCAATGATGGGACACAATGGACAGGTAAAAGGATAAAGGAACAGCACAGTGTGGAACAATGAGCCCCTGTTTATACACAATTACATGAGTGTGGTGTACATGCACAAAGTCCTGGTTACATGCAAAATGCAGCACAATTATTATACCATTATATTCAGACACAAAGGCAAACATCATTACAAGATTATAATATGTTTAACAATGAGACATGTAATGCAAGCAGAATAACAATACAAGAAAGCCATACTGGGTCACAAATGAGTCAGGAGACCACTTTGCACAGTACTGGATAACATAAACCCAAACTAGTTAAAGCATGAATCCAGCAAATTGCACATTTGCCCATTCTCAAACAAATGTGGATATATTTTGCTGACATTTCTGACAGCTTTTTTTGTTCTTCGAAAGACCAAGTTGGTTCCCAGCTTGACTGGTCAGGGGGAAAGAGATGCAAGCAGGAACCCCTCCATGCAGAGCTTGTTCCCCACACATGCAATCACAATGCTCCATTCTCAATACTGACACGTGTACTCACCATTGCCACGAGTGGCAGTTCGGGTGGTTTGTTTGGGTGGAGGAGCGGAGACCTGCTTATTGGTGGTCTTGGTTACCTTTTTACCCCCTGCTTGGCCACCTTTCTTCACACCTGAGTTTGTGGCCTCACCAGAGAGTTTGGGGAGTGAGGTCTGGTTTTTTTTAGTAGGGGTTTTTGGAGCGGTTGACTCACTGGCCTTTGGGCTGGGCTTGCTGTCATTCCTCTCTACTGAGCACAGAGGAGCAGAGCACCCTAAACTGTCATATCAGCACATTGTCAAATAGTATAGAGAATTTAGCTCAAAATTCTAATTGGATAAGCTACGTTTTAAGCAATTTTTAATACACAAATATGACCAGATATACATTACATCAAGTAGCAACTGTGAACTATATTAATTGGCTGACAAAAAATATATATATTGTCATTTATAATGACATTCCATTTTTCAACAAGAAAGCAATAAAATGATCAAGTGACAGAGAACTTTTGTAACAATTTAAAAGTCTTTACTATTTTAAATAAATGCTGTGCTTTTGAACTTTGCCATCACAGGAATAAATTACATTTTAAAATACATTAAAATAAAAAAATAAATGCAGCCTTGGTGAGCATAAGAAAAAGACATCAAAAACATCTTGATGACTATGTGTGTGTGGGTGTGTGTGTGTAATTATTATTCATTTAAATTATTTATTCAACTTTTTATTATTTAAACCTTGGTCTTATGCTCTTGGTGGCATTTTATAAAAGCGTTTTATAATGGATTTTCTTCCACACAGTGCAAATGCCTCAAGTGGCTTTAATGCTTTAGTGCATCTATTCCCTCAGCCACTTCAAAATGAACCCCATGAAAAATAAATTATTTTCATTGGTTGGAGGAAAAGTGGTGGAAACAATTACAGAATTGTTGTACAACATTAAAGAGGAAGAACTGATACAAATATAATTGTGTTGACGTTTCCCTTGCATATCTTGTGTGCCCACAACTTATGATGAAAAGAAAAATTCCAAAATGATGTCAGCCTAAATGGCACACTACCCATAAAAAGATGGTCTCAATACAAAGCATAATTTCCATCATTCATGTTATTATTAAAAAAGGTTTTATTATAGCTTCAAAGCCAAATATACTGAACTATACGGCACATTAGACACTAGTGGGCACCTCACCTCCTAAGCAGGTCAGACAATCAAGAGATGTTCATTAATTACATATACAACAAACTTCAACAGGAACAAAAATAACCTTCTCAGGAAATGCTCTTGTTCTACAAACAACTTTATTTTTACTGTAAATTAAAAACTTGACCACATGTTCGCCACATTTCACTGAGCAAGATAAAACTGTTGCTCCAAAGCTGCTCACACTTCCTCTAAATAACGCAGTTCATTTCTATATTATGATTGACAATCTTTATCAACCCATTTTGATACATTGCTCTTTGCACACGCGTTGATTTCACTAATGTTGTTCAATCACAATGATATATGAAATGATATGGATGGTGTGATGTGCAAAAATTTCATTGCAACAACATACGGTGAAGAAATTTCCCAAAACTACAACATAATCATGCTGCAAAACCTATGAAAGGACCCTTCAGTTAGACTAAATAATTTTACTCATTAGTTGCTTGAGCTTAAAACATCAACAACAAAAATACATTATCGGTACGGTTGGACATGTTGAGGACTCAACCATCTTTATTTTGCCCAGTTTTACCGGATTAAACAGAAAACTGTACCTTCTGGGTCCTCTGCCACTGCCGCCAAGTCTTTTTCTTCAGGGACCAGTTCTGGTGTTTCAATGTCCACTTTGACTTTTTCAGTAACTCCACTGGGCAATGCATGACCATTCAAGGTCTCTGTGTTCAAAGGATCATCTAAAGATAGACAAAAATGGCTTAGTTATCATGGAACCAATACGACATGCCTGCTATTCAGTAAAACGCAATTTTGTTACATCAACATTTAAGTCATCCTGCAGATGTTTAAAGACTGAGAGCTCAATAGATTGGACTGTGATTTTCTGAAAAGAACTACATATAAAAGTATTAGTGAGAGACTTTACTCTGACTCCCTCTACATGTGAGAACAGCAGAATCCTTCCCAATCTTCTGGCTCAATTTCATCATTTTGGATGTGTGTGAACAGCAAGTCCAGGAAGTTCTTAGCTTTTATTATATGGATAACATCAATTAAAGCTATTTAATGGAAAACATTCCTGGGTGGTAGAATAAATGAATAATCTTTAATTTATCTTTAACCCCCTTTGCTTTTCATTTGTTTATGGTTACTGGCTATGGTAATGCATTTTTCTTCTACTGTAGGTGATGGTACCATAGTGGTTAAAGGGATACTTCAGGATTTAGCATTAAGCTTTGTATTAGTAGAAAACCTGTAGTATTTTCGAATTACCATGCTTTCCACCCTCATATCACCCTGAGACGAGAGATTTATGTATTATTTGTCTGGAAAAAATCCTCCGATGACGCAAAAATCGTCATTTTGCGTCATCGGAGGATTTTTTGGCCAGAGGCTAAAGACTACAGTCAGTAGTAGGGGCTGTCCCGCATGTTTTCAACCCGTCCATAGCGGGTGGGATGGTGGGATCTCACTCACAGAATGTACACATAGTGTCAGCCATCTTTTTTTGGAAGCTAAGCTAGCAGGCTCTTGTTCTGTGGAGAAAGCTGAGTAGTAGGGGTTACCATCCTCTTTTTCCCGGACATGTCCGGCCGTCGAGATCGTACAAAATGTCTGGGATTCAGCTTTTGCTTTCTGCAGTCGCCATTCATTGTTTACATGCACACCTTTTGTTTCAATCTAACTGAATTCATTCCGATTGGTGAATCTGAATGTAGTGTTTACATGAACGCTAAACAAGTGATCGGTTGATGTGCGTTTTAACATTGCTAAGAAAATTCCCGCTCCTCCGTGAGAGATACGAGAACGGTGCGTCTCACAGGTGTTGCGCATCGGTAATCACCATAGACAGTAAAAGAAATGGACACAGCGACCCCCATTTCAACGGAGAGAGTTGAAGCCCAACATGGGCACTCACTTCCTGATAGCCAAGCGTTCTGCGCAGGCTCAAACTGAGCTTGACGACGTAGTTGTCACGTGAGCAACCGTTCTGACCTTCTAGTAGCTGTGCCGGGACAAATCTGAATTGAAATCTGAAACAAATCTGTTGTTGAAATATTTTGTCCCGTTGCTTTTATGAACTCTCTATCTATGGGCTTCTCCCTTGACTTTATGCCTCCATGTCCCCCCGATTGCCTCATAGACAGTAAACGATTGCCTACGAGCTTCTACTTCTGTCTATACGGTAATTTCTCTACCGTGCGACAGAGCGTCCAGTGGTTATGACGCAATCGTTAGCCTATTTTTACAAGAATGGCTTCTACGGGGCCATAATGTAAGATACAAAGTAATGGAGCCTTTTATACATTGTCGTGTTTCTTTAGAAATAAATAATGGACAAATGGAGTCTTTGGACGCCTCAGATGTAAAGTTATTCGCTGTCAAAGTGACGCCAAAATGAATGGGAGTCAATGGGATGCTAACAGCAGGTGATAGCCAGCTACAATGGCGGCCCCCGGAGGCAGCTTCAACTTCCGGCTGATGGATTACCCCCTTGGTAATCACGCCACCGGCCTCGCGCAGTTCTCCCTAGCCTCGTCCTGCTCGCCACCGTAAACATAATGAATGGCGACCGTAGAACGCAAAAGCCGAATCCCGGACATTTTTGGCGATCTCGAAACACATTTTCGGGCAGACTCATCACGGAGACTCACTAGCCTAGACTTGTTGTTTAACTACTGCGCTCTGTTACCGGTAGGCGTGGCCTCCTAGGGCAGCGAAGCAAGTGCATTCTTGGAGTTGCCGTCTTTCATCCATATAAGCCAAAAATACATTTTCTGGCTTTTCTCAGTCTAGAAAGCTCCAAATTCAAAAATAATTTCACATTTCTTCTACTTAAATGACCAATTTTAAATACACATTCATCTTTCCAGAGGTGAAGTATCCCTTTAAAGATTAAAGATCGCATCCGATAACCCACTAGCACCACTTGACACATGAAGAACAGAGATGCTTATTTCACCCTTTAACCTCATTTAAACATGGGTTACTGCAGGGAACTGCCTTTATATTGTATTATAAATCAATTTAGACAATAAACAAACTAATAATTCTAATGAATCATTCCTTTAATTTCACAGAAAGCAGCTCAGCGTCACATTCACTTGCTTTATTTAAAATCTCACCTTGCTCTGGAATAAGGACACCTTTCCTTATGAGCTCTTCTCGAGTTTGCCTGGTGGATATTTTCCTCTCCAGAACTATAAAGACGTAGGACATATCAAGACATCATTATATCAAGAACACTATATGGTTACTATGGTTCACAGAGTTCAGTAAAAGTGCAGGCTGCTGCCAGCTGTAATATGTTGTGTGCAATACATTTTATGATCCCTGGCGTGTCTACCGTATCCATCCAACATAATCACCACTTGAATATCATGCTGGATGAAGTAACGTTCATGAAGTTGTTAGGAAGCATCAAGAAAAGCCAAGAGGGTATCAATGAGATAACTACATTCTGAATATACTGTACATAGATGGATATATTGTCCCAAGCATAAACATTAAAGCAAAATGCTATTAGGGACATACCCTTGGAGAGGTCCTGAAACTTATCACTGGTCCTCTTCTTTCTCCATTTCCAAGGTTTAAAGATCTTGCCCAGAGAAGAGAGCTTTCCTCCCTTTCCTTTCAGCTGAGGAGACTGCGAGCTTCCCACGACATCACAGTTGGCCAGAGAAGATTTTTCCAGACCGTCCACTAAAAGTGAATCAAAGAAAGGAAAAATGAGAACATTGAATGAAATGAATAATAAAAACTCAGCTGACCTCAAGACAATGGAAATAGCCAACAGGTTTTTACAACAGGAAATACTTGTGTGAATGATTGTTTCTGACCATAACAACAGACATTAAGGCACCCTCAAGCAGCAAGAACAACTAGCTGACTCTTTCCATGAATAGCATACAAAAACAGTATACAAATTAATACTTTTACTCAAGCAAGGACATGTTAAATTGTTCAAAAGTGACTAAAGACATCTACAATGTTACAAAAGATTTCAATTTTAAATAAATGCTGTTTCTATTCATTAAAGAATCCGGAAAAAAAAAAAATTTCTGTTTCCACAAAAAATATTTAGCAGCACAATTGCTTTCAACATTGATAATAATAAGAAATGTTTCTTGATCACTAAATCAGCATATTATAATGATTTCTGAAAATTCAGCTTTGCCATCACAGAAAAAAATTATATTCAGAAATATTTTAAAATAGAATCAAATAAATGCAGCCTTGGTGAGCACCAGATACTTCTTTCAAAAGCCCTAAAAATCTTATAGACTGCAAACTTATGAATATTAGTGTACATGCATTTAAAAATACTGCATTTATATTGCAACCCTGTTACAAAAATTTTAAATGAATGGGTGACAGGCTTGCAATATATTAAAGGCACAGTATGTAAGTTTCGCCGCTGGGTCGCTTTTTCAAAACAATAAGAAAGGGTTAGCTTGAGCGTGGAATCATGGAAGTTGTATTCACCTCCACAGCTGATGGAAAGCAATCCGACAGGACTCAGGCAGAAATCATGTTCATGGTTGGGCTAATGTATTAAAGTTTTATTAACCTTACTGTGGTATGAAGTTGGGCGGGGCAGAGAGACTGCGACATGTTACGTTGCCGTTTTTATTATGCTTATATGCTGCAGTCGGCCGCTGTTGCTCCTTTCGCTTTGCAAAAGGCATGGAACATGAAAAAGTATTTGTAGAAAATGCCTACTACAAGCATATGCCAATAAGGCAGTTTACACCAGGTATTAAGATGCGTTTGGTCGATTGGATTACAAGTAGACGAGGGAAACATATTCCCCTTTACACCTGGTATTTTAATCCGTCTCTTTTGTCCACTTTCAACCACTTCTGTCCTGAATTCTTCGAGGGGAGGGTCCCTCACACAATTCACATATGAACACGCATGGAGACGACGGAAAAACACACAGAGAGCAGCAGCTTTCGTTTCTGTTCTGACAGCTACAAATCCACAGCGAACGCTGTGATTGCGTGTTAGAAATCAGGAATGGTGAGAGAACATTGCGCTTGATACTTCAAACCAATCTCAGGTCTCCAGCCAAAGTTTAAATCCCGTCTGGCTAGTGCGCTTCCCATTATGTTTATGTGTTAGATCAGTAGGCAGGCAGAGTAGGCGTCTTTTGTGTTTTCAACTACCTCTGGATGGGGTCGAAAGTGGACAAGCTCAAAACTTTTCAGATCCCGTTTACACCTGTATTGAGCATCGTCCATTTATGATCCAATCGACCAAAATGCATCTTAATACAAGGAGTAAACAGGGCCTTAGTCAACAATGACCCTTAATCACAGATCAGATCGATTATTTTAGGTTAGGTGCTCACTTGAAGTGTAAGGTTTGCAATTGTGATTCAGCCAAGAATTGAACTCTCCTCCACCCCACCCTGACTACTACATTTCTTTTTAAAGAAGACATATTTCCACATGGCCCACGCAAAGAGATATTAAACCCGTTTATCAAACATAATCCAACAGAACAGCAGACCTATAGTCACAGACACACCTCGCCAGATGAAGTGTAAAATGATCACAAGAGCATTTCCACACAGCTAAATGAGATCAAAGAACTGAAAACAATAAACAAAGAGTCAGGCTCCAAAGCAGTGACACCTTTTATCATTTTAAGAAATGCATACACACTTACATTGTTCTCAACAGAATTACAGCAGAGACCCCCGGTCAGTGAGTGCATGTGTCATTGTTATTTTTGCCAGATTTTTCATACAATGAAAGTCAGTGGTGCCCAATGTTGTTTGGACTCCCAATATTCCCTTAAAATCTTTTTTTGTGTTCCACAGAAGAAAGTCATAAAGCACTGTAAAAAAAAAAAAATAGGAGAGGAGAAAGTAACCTCCTGGCTCTTAGAGTTTGAACTATGATTCAGATGGAAAATTGACAGATTGACATTGACATTTACCACACATTTCCGATGTAGTTCGCTCTGTGTACTTAATGTAGTTTCATTAGATCCTAGATGCATAGATTTGCTGTCGCAGTGCAGAAAACAGTGTATTCCCAGCATGTCGACAACACAAACCAAACTCTTCCAGAATTCAACTACAACTAGTGTTTGAGAGTGGGTCAAAGTAGACATTGTTCTCAGGCAGCCAATGAAGACCATAGACTGATATTATGCAAATCTGTTATAAATTTAGCTTGGTGCAGGAAGTAAGACTGGAATTACTGAGAACTTCTTTCAGGCAGTTTAGAATCAGTTCTTTCCATTTATCATGCACTTGTCACAGTGAAGGAATTTTCACACCGAAAATATAAACTTGAGAAAACACCGGTATTACTGATAATTTGCAGAGATCAGGGAGCCACTATCAGTATGAAGTGCATTGAAATCGCTTTTGAATGCTCACGAGAATTTGCAATCACGCGTACACTTTGTATAGGGATCGGCGGTATTGATCGCACAATTTATAAGATAAGAAAAGAGGTCAATGATGATTGTCAACACAAAAGAAGATATTTTGTAGAATGTCAGTAACCAAACAGTTTATGGACACAGAATGGGAAAAAAATACTATGGAAGTCAATGGGGCCCATCAACTGTTTGGTTACCCATATTCTTCAAAATATATTCTTTGGTGTTCAGCAGAAGAAAGAAATTAATACGGTTTTGGAACAACTTGAGGGTAAATAAATGACAGAATTTTTTGGGTGAACTATCCCTGTAAGCTCCAAAACTACACTTCAGCTACACATCAATACACACTGGGCAATGTGAATGCTATAATCTGTTAATATGGCCGCCCAACACGCACATCTTCCACAAAATCCAATCCAAAATTCCAAAATCTGATCAGCAACCAGGATATTTTTCACACAGAAATGTTTGAGATCCAAACACGAAGCCTGTTTTTCACACTGCACGGAGGGATTTCATTAGCGGACACATGTAACAGGAATGTGCTAGATAGCATGTCTGTGGTCTTTTCACCACCATCATGAGAATGCCAAAGCGCCTCTTCACTAATCAATTCTCCCTAAGGAGCCACTGACCCTAAACTTCATTGGCCTGTCGACAGCCAGTTGGACACTGATTGGATTATTAATAGTATGTGTTACTCCCAGAACTCCCAGTGATGATAGCCGTCCCTGAGATCAAACCTCAGAGGATCAAGCACAATGAACACAAAGAGGACACCGGTTCACAACTGAGCAAGCAGAATTCATCTGAAGGGCACAGATGAACATGTGTGGATGCTGCAGAACAAAAATAGAGCCACAGTACACTGTTGAAAAAAATGACAGTTTGATACTGACACCAAAATGAGGCCATAGTTGCATGAAATGTTTTAAACCAATAAAAATAAATAAAAAAAAAATAGGAAAGCATTAAAGGGTTAGTAGTACACCCAAAAATTTTAATTCTGTCATAATTTACTCACCCTCCTGTTGTTCCAAACCTGTTCTGTCCCTCCATTGATAGTGCACACAACTACCTATTTGCCGCTTCAAAAACTTCATAAAGAGATCTTAATTGAGCGGTTTAGTCCAAATTGTCTAAAGAGACATGATCGCTTTATAATGATCAACAGATTGAATTTAGGCTTTTATTCACATAAACATTCATCTACTCAAACATCAGTTGTGGTAAATGGAAGATCAAGGTTAAGGCTTGCTTGACGTGCGAGAACCAATGAGGTTTATTCTCGTGTTACACAGCACGTTTGAGCTTCTACAAGAAGCTATAAGGTTTGTTCTCGCAAATCAAACAAGTACGGTTGAGCTTTTGATGTTCGCTGATCAATGTTTATATGTGAATAAAAGCCTAAATTCAATCATATATTAATCATATAAAGCAATCGTCTCTTCAGAAAATTTGTACTAAACCGCTCAATTCATATGGATTAGTTTTACAATATATTTATGAACTTTTTGAAGTGACAAAGTAGTAGTTGTGTGGACTGTCAATGGAGGGAAAGAAAGCTCTCAGATTTCATTAAAATATCTTCATTTTGGGTTCCGAAGATGAATTATGGGTTTGGAATGACATGAGGGTGAGTAGCCTAAATGATGAGAGATTTAAGATGTTGAGGTGAACTATCCCTTTGAGATGTTTAAGAAGTCTCTGATATTAAAGAAGTTCTAATTCAGTCTGTGAATCAGTTGACCAAAAAAAGAAAACTCAAACTCCAATTCAATTCCAATTTGCATATATAATGTTTTAGCAAAAATAAATCTGTTCATTAATTTGTAGTTTTATAATGGAGCATAAAATTGAAAATGACTAAATATTCTTCCTTGTGTTCATTTATTGAAAAAATAGGGTGAAAACAGAAAACACACCTTAATTTGGGTTTTGGCGTAATTAGGAGTTTAAATGAAACAATGGTTGCAGAGCAACATTATATAAAATATAGTCTATTGAAGATCACCAAAATGCTGAAAAATATGGAGAATTCTTTTAGCCATACCATTCAGATCTGTATTGTGGCAAAAATGCTGCAAATATTATGTTTTATTTTATCACATTTGAGTTTGTACAGCTGACTAAATTCCTCACTTCCTCTTTTATATGGGGAGGCCACTGAAAAGGCATCAAACATGACAAATAATCATGAGGACCTGAAAACAAAAGACATCAGTAATTAAAACCTCTAAGGCTTCCAAAGAAAGCATGTGAGACTTAACGATTAAAAAGTTCACGGGAGTCAAAAATAA